TGTACACACGAGAACTCTGAAGTTGACATCAAAAAGAATCTTAAGTTTCTGATTGGCAATATCTACTGGAGTTTCACTGGGTACCAATTGTGCCCCGTTATCAGCAGACCTATTCTTCTATTCATATAAAGCAGTATTTGTTTTAAAAAAAAAGTATACGTGAAAAAACCTGTCGTGGCCTTCAACTCGATATATCGACGACGTATTGTCAATTAACAATTGTTATTTCCATTCTTATGTCGATACGGTAAAACAATTATGGAAATAACGAACAGTATTTAAGCTTTAAAATCAATAAAACAAAACAAAAAAGGAGCAGAGCAAACAGAGACCTCCAAACATCAGAGGTGGGATCAGGTGCCATGTAGGAGTGAGCATTGTGGCAGCGCACTTTGAAAAAAACACGCACTTTGACAAAAATTTTTAAAATGCGTTAAATTTAGGACACTCTCAACGCACTTTGAAAAGGTATTTCAAAGTGTGTTAAGAGTGAACATCAACATTTTTTACCTTAGGGACATCTAACGCACTTTGAAAAAAAATGTAAAAAAAAACAAACAACATCCTACATTTACATATTAGTAATTGAGTGAATTAATTTGTAATAATTATATCTTTCAAAAAAACTTTGAATTTGCATGTAGATTATAAGTCTCTGAGAGCAAGGAAAACAAGGAACAGATAATTAAGATCTTTCAGTCCAACTCATTTGTTCTTATACATAGCTGTCGGTAGCAAATCGACCCCCCCCCCCCTTCAAGATACATGTAAGCCCCAGTTTTCAATACCTATATAATGTATACCTTTGCAAAACATTTGTGAGCCTATCCACCCCCTCACGGCACCGATGTCTATGCTAAACCCAAATATATGTATTTGCATAACTAGTACGATTTTGAAAACTTTCAATAAATTTTTAAGTTAACATAAATTGTTTGCAAAATGGAAAAAAAATAGTACAGTGAAACATTTAGGAGAGAAAGAATTTTCAAATTATTGAAAAATCAAAGCCGCTTCTTTCACATCCTGAAGTGACCTTATCCAACAGGTTACAGTATCTATCATACCTATGATTTGAAAGAATATTGACCAATCCATATAAATCCAGTACAAAATCATGTTACGCTTTGACCAAAATCAGTGACGCTTTGACCGGGACGGTTTTAATTGGGAACGCTTTGACTTGGCTCCCATCCTTACACATATTTTTAGCTCTTCTGAGCCAAAGGCTCAAAGAGCTAATGCTATGGCCATTTGTGCGGTGTGCGGTGTGCGTTAACTTTTTAGAATATGGGCCATAACTCAAGAACCCTTTGGCAAATCAGTACCAAATTTGCCACAGGGTATCCTTGGCTCAAGGGCTACCATTTATACTAAAATAAGGGTTAAGACCCTAAAACAAGGGGAGATAATCAGGAAAACAAAACCAAAAGTAATAGTTGCTAAAAAATCTTCTTCTCCAGAACCACCAGGCAGATTTTCACCAAACTTACATACAAGGATCAAGATATGTTGCAGATTAAAAATTGTTCAAGGCATGACCCTGGGGCAAAGGGCATGGTCTCAAGGTCACTTTAAAGTTGACCTAAATTTACAATTAATAAAAATGTTTATATTTTGCTTACTATAAGGACTAGGATCATCAAATCTTGTAAGTTTATGCATCTTAGGACTTCACATCATGTTAACTCAAAAGTAGGTCACGGTGACCTACTTTTTAAATTTTGCGGGCATTTGTTTTCAAATTGATTTGAAGGCCTATTTTGGACACTTTAAGGTCTATGATCATCAAACTTAGTCAGTTGATGCCTCTTGGGTCCTTGAACAACTTCAACTTAAAAGTAGGTCACCGTGACCTACTTTTTGAACTTTATGACTTATCCTTTTTAAAACATTTAATCCCATTATTTCAGGCACTGAAAGGGTTAGAATCATCAAATCTTGTAAGTTGCTGCATCTTGGGACCTTAAAACATATTTAAGAAAAAGTAGGTCACTGTGACCTACTTTTAGAATTTTGCAGGCATATGTTTTCAAAATGTTTAAAGGCATATTTTGATTACCTTCAGACCTAAAATCATCAAACTTGGTCAGGAGATGCATCTTGGGACTTTGAAAAATGTCGACCAAAATGAAGGTCACAATGACTTACTTTCGACATTTTTTGACTATTCTTAAGTATCTTAGGTAGTTATTGGCTTAGAATCATCAAATTTTGTGAGTTGATGTATCTTGGGTTTTCGGAGAGTGACGCCAAAAAGTAGGTCGCGGTGACCTATTTTCGACATTTTATGACTATATTTAAGTATCTTAGGTATTTATTGGCTTAGAATCATCAAACTTTGTCAGTTGATGCATCTCGGGTTTTCGGAGAGTGCAACCAAAAATTAGGTCACGGTGACCTACTTGTGCCTACTTGTGACATTTTATGGCTATATTTAAGTATCTCCGGTACTTATTGGCTTAGAATCATCAAACTTTGTCAGTTGATGCATCCTTGGTTCTCAGAGAATGTGGACCAAAAAGTAGGTCAAGATGACCTACTTTTGAATATCTCAGGTATTTATTGGCTTAAAATTATCAAACTTAGTCAGCAGATGCATCTTGGGACTGTGAAAAATGTCGACTAAAATGTAGGTCACGGTGACCTACTTTCGACATTTTATGGCTATATTTAAGTATCTCCAGTACTTATTGGCTTAGAATCATCAAACCTTGTCAGTTGATGCATCTTGGGTTTCTGGAGAATGTCGATCAAAAAGTAGGTCACGGTAACCTACTTTCGACATTTTATGGCTATATTTAAGTATCTTAGGTCTTTATTGGTTAGAATAATCAAACTGTGTCAGTTGATGCATTTTGGGTTTTCCAAGAATGTAGACCAAGAAGTAATTGGCTAAGAATCATCAAACTTTGTCAGGTGATGCAACTTAGGTCTTCAATAGGATACTTAGGGTTAGAGGCTTCAAATACAAGTGATAGGTTGTACAATTTATCAGAAGAGCGATTCAAGGCCCTTGGGTCTCTTGTTCAAAGTGCGTTGATATGGTCGATATTAACGCACTTTGAAGAGAAATTCTATTTTTTCCAAGTGCCTTGTTTTTGACCAAAATTTAACGCACTTTGAATTTTTTTTTAAAGTGCGTAATTTTTCAAAATGTGTTGTAACAGAGCATCCCCTGCCGACCGGTCACACCAACCGTGTGCTCTTTGTCATGTTCAGGGAATAAGTGAAAAAATCCACCATTGTCAATTCAGTGTGTATATAATGGACAAACAATTACTATGAAAAACGTCAGTCAGCGTTTGATTCAATAATAATAGAACTTAAGAAATGAGGACTTTAAACGAGACTGTTAACTACTTTACATCTTTTATGAATTGTATAAACGTAGAGCATGTTCTTGTGTGTCGAATCAACTGAGATATATACACTCCGTATGCAGGTGATAAAGGTTTATTGCTTCATAAGAAAGGGAAGTTGAATACGATTTGAGCTCGAATACGATACGAACGCGAGTTCAATACGATTTTGCAACTAAACGAAAGAATGGGGCAATTTTTTGTTGATTGGAAAAACATCAGAGGTAAATCTAAATGTTGAATTGAAGGCCACAGCAGGAGATTTCTTTTCGTGTTTTTTTAATAAATTCTAATTCATGCAAACACAAAACCAAGTCTTTAAATAAAAGGTACCTACCGAAACTTTATTTTCTAACAACACACTGTTAAAAAAAACATAGCCTTCGAAACCACAGAGATATTGTCAATATGATATTTGAGGAAAGTTTTTATAACAACTTCGGAGTTCTTGTACAAAGAATTAGAATTGTTTTAACAAATTATGTTTGCAGATGACTAATGAAAAGATATGCTAATTTACAAGTTTCATTTCTACTAAAAAGCAGTTGTCTGTGGTGTCGAAAAGTCCTATGTTTGATTCTACATGCATTAAATTTAGTAAAATTATGTGATATTAAATTCCCTAAAAGTTCCGTGACGTTTTCTATGCATCAACTTGTGATTTACACTTCTTCTCTAATATGTTTTTGTACAGTACTTCTGAACTTTCTCCTTTCAATGCTGTCCATATTTTTATAATTATTTTAGGGGTAAAGAAAGGGGCTTGGTAGAACATAGCCTAAAACACACTATGTATCTATTTAGGAATTTAGTATAGATAAGGTGATTTAAATTCGGTTTGGTTGATGGGAATATAATAAAAATTGAAAAGTGTCATATAATTTTCATTTATTTCCTACTTACAATGGGAAATATGAGTTTAAGATGGATTTCCATTTGTAGAATAAAATCCACGTTCCTCTAAAATACAGTTTGTAAAAATGAGCCTTACTAATATAACAGTGTTATAACTGCTTTGTCAGCTTAGATCTGTTCGTATTTTCGTGAAAACTATTTTTTCGGGAAAGGGGGAGCAGAATTTAAAGATTTTATTCCTTAGAAAGTGGACTATGTGTAAGAGTTAGATTAGCACTTTTAGAATGAAATTGAAGTTCCCCTTAAAATCAAACTTACAAACAAAGACTAGGCTCTTTACCTGCTTTGATAGCTGGGACCTGTACGTTTAATTCTTGCAATCTGTCTTATTCTTCTTGACATCTGAATTTTTTAAGATAGAAGGATATACGGTTTTCATATTGCTTCTCAACCTTAAACACAAAATTTTAATTTCATCTTCCTCCTCGGTTAAGGTATTCTTTTACACATATGAAGAAAAAATCACTCATTAGTATCTTATATAATATTTAATGCTACAGTGCATACATATGAAATCAATCACTGATTGTCTAGGTATGATGATGAAACCAGGAAAAAACATGCGCATTTTAGCAGGTCTTCTGATGATTTTCGTATCCGATTTTAACAACATACAGGCGATAGATGCATCCACCAATCAGATCGCTATAGCGTCCCTGGCAGGAAGTATTGCCTTGATAGCATCTCAGAGTAAGTTGCATACATTGAAAATAATTTTTTTTTTCTTTCGCTTCAATATTTATTTTTGGTATATTTGATTTGGCATAATACTTTTCGACAACAAATATAAACGCGAATATCTGTTTCAGATGTGAAATAAAATATTTTGAGCAAACGATGTCTTTTTTTATAGGTGGAGTGGTTGACTTGGTCGTAAACGATATTGTACTTCTGACAGGAATAGTTTTATTTATTACCTATCCAAGAACGCCAACGCAGAGGAATGGCGAGGAGACACGTAAGTAAATGAAGCACTGAGCAATCGAGTGTTTCTGTGAGTGAGAAAGAGTGTCAGGGAATGAGCGAGCATGTCTTTGAATGAGTGAGCGTATCTGTGAATGGGTGAGCATATCACTGAATGAGCGATAGTGTCTGTAAATAAGCGAGCCTGTCTGTGAGTGAGCAATTGTGTCTTTGAACGAGCGAGCATTTCTTTGAATGAGTGAACGTATCTGTGAATGAATGAGCATGTCAGTGAATGAGCGAGCTTGTTTGTGTGAGTTTGTAAGAGTGTTTGTGAATGAGCGAGCGCGTCTTTGAATGAGTGAGTGAGTGTATATTATGTAAATGAGTGAGCATGTCAGTGAATGAGCGAGTCTGTCTTTGAGTGAACGAGCGTGTCTGAGAATAAGCAAGAGGGCTGTGAGAGAGCGAGTCTGTCTTTGAGTGAGCGAGCCTGTCTGTGAAAGAGCAAAATATTTTGCCAGTAAGCGGATGTAAAGTCAAAGTTGTGTATATTTAAAAGACAGGGGATGTGTGAGTGAGACATCGATAATAACCAGCCAGTGAGTCAGTGTGTGAAATATACTCCGTGTGTTCTTACACCTTGTATACAAGTCAGTACATGTCAGTGTGTGAAGTATACTCCGTGTGTTCTTACACCTTGTATACAAGTCAGTACATGTCAGTGTGTGGAGTATACTCCGTGTGTTCTTACACCTTGTATACAAGTCAGTATATGTCAGTGTGTGGAGTATACTCCGTGTGTTCTTACACCTTGTATACAAGTCAGTACATGTCAGTGTGTGAAGTATACTCCGTGTGTTCTTACACCTTGTATACAAGTCAGTACATGTCAGTGTGTGGAGTATACTCCGTGTGTTCTTACACCTTGTATACAAGTCAGTACATGTCAGTGTGTGGAGTATACTCCGTGTGTTCTTACACCTTGTATACAAGTCAGTACATGTCAGTGTGTGGAGTATACTCCGTGTGTTCTTACACCTTGTATACAAGTCAGTACATGTCAGTGTGTGAAGTATACTCCGTGTGTTCTTACACCTTGTATACAAGTCAGTACATGTCAGTGTGTGGAGTATACTCCGTGTGTTCTTACACCTTGTATACAAGTCAGTACAAGTCAGTGTGTGAAGTATACTCCGTGTGTTCTTACACCTTGTATACAAGTCAGTACATGTCAGTGTGTGGAGTATACTCCGTGTGTTCTTACACCTTGTATACAAGTCAGTACATGTCAGTGTGTGGAGTATACTCCGTGTGTTCTTACACCTTGTATACAAGTCAGTACATGTCAGTGTGTGGAGTATACTCCGTGTGTTCTTACAATTTGTATACAAGTCAGTACATGTCAGTGTGTGGAGTATACTCCGTGTGTTCTTACACCTTGTATACAAGTCAGTATATGTCAGTGTGTGGAGTATACTCCGATTGTTCTTAGACCTTGTATACAAGTCAGTACATGTCAGTGTGTGAAGTATACTCCGTGTGTTCTTACACCTTGTATACAAGTCAGTACATGTCAGTGTGTGGAGTATACTCCGTGTGTTCTTACACCTTGTATACAAGTCAGTACATGTCAGTGTGTGGAGTATACTCCGTGTGTTCTTACACCTTGTATACAAGTCAGTACATGTCAGTGTGTGGAGTATACTCCGTGTGTTCTTACACCTTGTATACAAGTCAGTACATGTCAGTGTGTGGAGTATACTCCGTGTGTTCTTACACCTTGTACACAGGGAAAAGTGGCTCGCATGATTTTCATGCGATTGCCTTTTCGCATGAATTTTGTGTGAAAATCATATTAAAACCATGCGAAAAGTTCCACATGCGAATTTCATGCGAATGTCCTCATATAATAATTATGCGAAATTCATGCGATTTCCATGTGTCTGAAATTTCGCATGATATTCATGCGAATTCCAAATTACCAGTTTTTCATGTAAAAATCGTGCGAAATTCGCATAAATATTATGCGATATTCATATACACAAGAGAAAAGCAATGAACAAAGAAATTGAACATTTCAATATTTATTTAGGTTTTTCTGCCACATCAAGTGATAAAAATTGCCAGTCTCTGATATCATATTGCTTGGATGTTCCTGGGTAATCCATTGACTTTAATGATTGTTGTGTTTACAGGCAGTTTTTCAGTACGTCTTTCTTTCAATCTTGTGTCCTGACAAGTGTTTCCTACAAAGATTATTAATTCATTAATTATTTAATTATTATATTAATTATTATAAAATACTATTACCCATACTAATATTCCAATTGTTTAGGTCAAAGGGACCAATTCCTAGATTAGGATGACATTAAATACAATAAATTCAATGATATCACTTGAAAAGTCCATGTTTTGGCAACTTGAATGAGCATATTAGACTTTAAAGGGATGTGTCAGACACCATACAGTGTGTTATTGACCTAGCGACTCTATATATCGGGCTGCTATTGAACCATAAATGAGATAAAAATTTTCATTTTAATTGTGATGTTCCAATTGGATGACAATAAACATGTAATTGATGAATTTTTAATATATTACAGACAACAGTAAAATACTGAAAAGATTGATTTTTTAAAATCTGCACAGAATAATTAGAATACCTCAACCGTGAATAAATCAAATGCAATATATAGTTACACTTTTTTTGCATGGACCTCAAATTAATCCCCTAGAAGATTGAACCTTTTGTTTGACCTATGTCTAAATTATTTTATGGGATACACTTGGTCTATAGAAGTTGTGTTTACATGTGTCAGAACAAAAACACTGTCTGTGTGTTGTGTTCTGACACATATGTAGAAACTTGTAATGACAATTAGTTTAAATAAAAATAACCTTAAATTACTTACTCAAAATTTAGTAAACCTTCATATAAATGTCGCTAAGCATGAAAAGGACCAGTCGATTCACCTGACTGCGTTACGTAGAACCTGAAATGAGAACGCAATCCGAATTTACTCTGAAAGATTTCGTTGCAAGTTGAATTATCAATAAAAATGTGCATTATAACCACAAAATATGACAAAAAATCAACAAAGCATACATATTTACCATTGTTTCAAAGAAGTATATCACAATTAGCCAAAAGGAAAGTCTAGAACAAACCATAGAAAGGAGCTCTTGCTGACACGGATTTTTTTTTCCTGTAACAGGAAGTGCAAGTAGAACCTGGCTAATCGGTTTCGTATTCATCCAAGAATCGGGAAATACCTTAATCTTTGTAATATAAGTCGTTCAATTTTTTATCTTAAAAATGCATCTCCACTTCAAAGACGAACGCAGATGACTAAGTGATATAAATTTACTTTATGGAACCAAAGCTAGTTCTTTTATGGAATACCGTACGTCACAAATTACGTCATCATGCGACTTAGAAAGCAGAAAGAAAGATAATCTTTGTAATATAAGTCGTTCAAATTTTTATCTTAAAAATGCATCTCCACTTCAAAGACGAACGCAGATGACTAAGTGATATAAATTTACTTTATGGAACCAAAGCTAGTTCTTTTATGGAATACCGTACGTCACAAATTACGTCATCATGCGACTTAGAAAGCAGAAAGAAAGAAAGAAAGAGCAGAATGTTTTCAACTCCATATTTTCTGTAAGTTTGTAAGATTCCCATCCTCTTTTTATATCAGACGGATGTAATAACTTTATTTGGGAATATTTGTTGACAGCTTAATAACAGATATGAGATTCAAGTGGATCTAACATTATCTATGGTAACGCATAACGTTATGTGTTGAAAATGAAAGATGGGCCTAGTACAGGTTCTCTGCTTTTCTTACAATATTATTGGCCTATTGATAGGCCTAATGTTTTAATGTGTTTTTAATTCCTGTTGCATTGGGATCTAGTATATAAAATTAAACTGCAGCAATCAAATAACACACGTAGCATTTAGGGGGGGGGGGGGTTGTAGATAGAATGTTGATGTTCTATCGTTAAAATGATAAAAAGTAATGTCCTACGTACCCGGTGAGGGCTTAAGATTATTCTAACTACGATGGTAAATTGCAACCCTCCCTTTTGGATTTGCAAAAAAAAAAAAAAAGGAATAAGAAGAAGTAAGTTCCAAATTTTTGTTTGTTTGTGTTTTTACCATAGAAAATGTTCAGCGAAAAGCTAATGTTGTAGGACAGGATTCTCAGGTTCTGAGATCAAAATTTTCCTTTCTTTTTCAAAAACTTTTCAGGTAATTATAATCCATACAAATATTTTTTCCTAGTTTTATATTAACCTCCTCCTTTAAAAACCATACCCCACCCGGTATCCTATTGAGTTATTTAACTACATGCTGGTGTAAAATGTACATTATAATACCCCCCCCCCCTTTGAAAAAATCCTTCCACCCCTCAACAAAAAAATATACCCCACTGTCCTGTCCACAAGTACCTGTGCATGTGCATTCCAAAATGTATGCAGATATAAAGAGGCTTACTTACATCTGGAATGCAAGACAGAAAGTCCTAGTCACTTCCCTAAAATGAGTCGTACTGTACATATATTTACAAAATATTTATTAATTTGAAAATATTTATTAAATGTTGTATTCTATACTCACAGGTATAATTTGCTGGTTATAAGCAGATCTATGCACGGCACTCCATTATACCACACTGATAGCTTCTCAAAGATTATAAATATGATACATGTAAGCGGGTAAGAAAAAACATCTAAGAGAGAAATATTTTTTGCAGAGCCTGTTGTATACATTGTTTGTTATTACGTGTATAACAATCAATAACAATTTTGTTATTACGTGTATAACAATTTTGTTGTTACATGTAGCAAAACCTTAACCATTCAGCTTATATTTGCTTATTTTGCATTTCTTTAATGTAAATACATGTATATAATCTTCGTTAATTTATAGAATACATGTTTTTAATTTAAATAAAGTGACAAAGAGATAATGAACTAAATGTTATTGAACCTACAGACTACCTGACATTTTTTAGTTTCTCTGTATAGGCACAGTTACTTGTCATCACAAGGATCAGATTTCAAGTACCAGAGTAGTCCTAACTCCTAAATTTTCCCAATTTGTCAAAAGTACATGTAAGTATTTTATAATATTTTTTGTTAGCTCACCTGAGCCGAAGGCTCAAGTGAGCTTTTCTGATCAAAGTTTGTCCATTGTCTGTCTGTCGTCGTTGTTGTTGTCATTAACTTTTCACATTTTCGACTTCTTCTCAAGAACCAGTGGGCCAAATTCAACCACACTTGGCACAAAGTATCTTTAGGTGAAGGGGATTCAAGTTAGTTCAAATGAAGGGCCATGTCATTTCAAAGGGGAGATAATTCAGAAATAATGAAAATTTGATGGTATGATTTAAAAATCTTCTTCACAAGAACCACTGTGCCAGGAAAGATGAATCTTACAGAGAAGCATCCTCAGGTAGTGTAGATTCAAGTTTATTCAAATCATGACCCCCAAGGGAAGGGCGGGTCCACAATGGCCAATCAAAGTTTTACATAGAAACCCTTCGGGCTTTATGGAATTTAATCTCGTGACCAATTATGACTAAGCTGGGAATATCATTGAATTTTTCTCACCTAAGCCAGAAGCTTAAGTTAGCCCTTTTTATGCCCCCGTAAACAAAGTGTTGGGGTACAGTTTATAGTTTTTGTCGTGTCCGTCTGTCTGTCTGTCTCTCTGTCTGTCTGTTTGTCCTCAAAAACTTTAACCTTGCCCATAACTTTTGATTTATTGGAGCCATGACTTTCATATTTCACATGTGTATTCCTTGTGACAAGACCTTTCTTTTGGTACTACCAAATTTGACCTCTTGACCTTGGAGTTTGACTCACTTTTACATGATAATTTTACACTTTTACTTTGGCCATATCTTTTGAACAGTAGACACCAGGACATTTATACTTCACATGTGTATTTTTTATTGAAAGACCTTTCACTGGATACCAACAACCTTGACCCTTTGACCTTGACCTTGTAGATTTCTGTACCTGTGCAAAACTTGAACCTTGGCCATAACTTTGGAACGGTAAGGGATACGGTTTTCATACTTCACATATGTAATCCTTGTGAGAAGACCCTTCATTGGATACCAAGCACTTTGACCCTTTGACCTTGACCTTTGAGTTTGACCTACTTTAAAAAACAAGCCTTGACCATAACTTTCAAAGGGTTAGGGCTAGTGCTTTCATATTTTACATATTTAATTCTTGTGACAAGACCTTTTATTTGATAACAAGAACTTTGACCCTTTGATTTTGACCATGGAGTTTGACCTACTTTTAAAAGAAAATTAACCTTGGACATAACTTCTGAAAGGTTAGAGCTAGGGCTTCCATACTCTACATAAGTAATTCTATGTGGCAAGACCTTTTATTGGATACCAATTAGTAACTTCGCCTTTAGGACTTGACCTTGGAGATTTTTGTACTTATTGAAAAAAAACTTTAATAATGGCCTGCTTTCAAATTTCACAATTACTTTCCAGTGAGAATATCCTACTTTTGGTACCTATTAATTAAATTTGCATTTAAGAAAAGTTTAATCTTTGCTATGTTGTCATACGGGGGCATCAGTGTTTCACAAACATATCCTGTTTTTGGTCAAAATTTGTCGTAAAATTTTTCATTTTGATTTCATGCATTATTGATCGAAACTTTAAATGCATTTTATAAAAAAAAGTACAATTGTAAAAATACCAGCTTATAAAAAATTCTTAAATTTGTGAGATTCTCAATAATATGATACATTTCAGCTAGTGACACAAGAGAAGAATGTGGAGTAAATGCCAATAAAGGCTCAACTGCAGGGGTATACCAGACTTCTCGGCAATTTCTGGTTATCACCATCCAAATGACCGATTCAGAGGAGAAGACCAACTTCAAGATGACTCTTATGCATTGGTAAGGATTGAAATTTAATTTCATTAATATGGACACTTGAGGGATGCAAGTGTCAATTTATTGTTATTTGTTTTAAGACCTATTGCTTCTCTTTTTATCAGTTGTTGTGTGTCCCATCAGTAACAAATTATCCATTACTAACTGAACCATTATCAACCAAATTTTGCATGGTAAAAGTGCTTCTTGATAGAATGCAAACAAACTAAGTACATTTAAAGTATATACTTATAATGAGTATTAAAGAGTTCCATTTCCAAAATTGTACATTACTTTGCCCCTGGGTACCCAGTAATAGGTTCTGATGTTATAGAAGACATATAAAAAATGCAGTAATTCTTTGACAGTCATCTTTTTCTGCTCCTAGGTACTCAGCAAATAAACTTATGCATACATATATTATTTTATCCTATGTTTACGCCTTTATATATGCCTATATGAGATCTTAAAGCGAACACTGAAATGCTAGGCAAACTTAAAGGTCAAGGTCAAAAGGTCAAATTGTTAGCATCTGAAGGAAGGTTTTGTCATAAGGAATAATTTAACCTGTGAAATATGAGAATTTTAGTATTAACTGTTAAAAAGTTATGGCCTAGATTATATTTTTTAAAAGTGGGTCAAACTCTTAGGTCAAGACCAATGAATGGTCTTGTCACAATGATTACAAAATAATGTGAAGTATCAGATTGATAGCACTAACTGTTCAAAATTATTAGCCTAGGTTAAAGTTTAGGGATTTTTTTTGTAAAAGTTGATCAAACCCTACTATCAAGGTCAAGAGGTCAAATTTTATAGTACCCCGATAAAGTTCTTGTTACATGAAAATGATGAAATACACCTGTGGAATATGAAGCCATAGCCCGACCCACTCATAAGTAATGTGTTTAAAAGTTAAATATTAAGACAGAAAGATTGACATAACAGTACAAAAACAATATAAACCCAACAATCTTTTATAACAGAGGCAAAATTAGTGCATAATATTTCCATGACGGTTTAAATAGTAAAACAGATTCAAACTTATTCCTTTAAAAAGTTGAACTTTGAAGATATAAAATTCATGACTAGTCTTAGTAATATTTTTAGATTTATTTCTGTTCTTTGCTTTACAGAGATCTTTCGCTGATGGACTCAAATTGTTCAGGAAAAAATCCAGCTACCACAGCCACAGATTTCTGGCGTGTGTTCAGAAGGAACATAGATGCAATGGTAGGTAAATTTTGCTTTTAAATTCCCTTGCAACAGATACAAATTGCATCATCAGATATAGGTCAATGAAACAGAGACAATTATCTCAAGGTTTAATTGATACCTGACACAAGATTGTTTTTAAGTTTAAAGTCATTTGCAGGAAAATTGTTTTCATTTTTTGTCAATAATTTTATACTTAAGAAACATTATAATTATACTTTTAATTATGATTTATGCTGTATGATTTTGAAATCATTACAATTTATGATGTATGTTTTTTAATTTTTTAAAGATCATTTACAAAGTAGGCAATATAAATTCAACCTTTTACCAAATTGAACTTAGGGGTGATATGAGATTGCTATATCTACTTTTGTTCATATTTTATGTTATCTTGATAAGTAGGGAAATATTGACTTTGGAAATGCAGTAACTGTTGTAAAATTCATGACTGTATTTCATTTACCGGTACCCAGTATTCATTACAATTATTTTCTCTTGCAGATGAAACAATCTCCAGACAGATGGGTGGCCCTTAAGCAGAGAATGTTAAAAAGAATTGAAGCATTCAATAAAGAAGATTAAGAAACAGAATGTGTCCAGTTGTTTGTTCATCAAAAGAATAACTTGGATAATCATAGTGGTGCTTCCTCAAAATCTGCATGTGTTAAAATTAAGCAGTTTCAAATTAAGATTTAGATAAAGCTCATTAAGTCATTTGCTGGATCAGATTTTGAGATTGTACTTATTGCATTTTTTTGAATACAGTAACAGTGAAACGTTGATGATTAGTTGTACAAATTCATATACAGATCTAAGTATTAGAATTTCCTAATACTTTTCATCAAATGGATTAATAGAATTGAAAGTCCAATATACTAGGAAAAATGTATAAATTACATCACATGGATTTGATATGAATATATCATGATATTTACATGAAATTCGCATGAAATTCGCATGAAATTCATATGAAAATCTGTAAAGAAAGCAGCAAAAATATTCATATGAATTTCGTGCGAATTTTTATTCGCATGATATTCGTGCGAATTTCATGTCAAAATCGCATGATATTTTCATGCGAATATCATGTGTGGTCCTTTTCGTCTCCTTTTCATGTGAAGAATTCGCACGATATTCATGCAAATTTCATATGAAGTTTATGCGAGCCACTTTTGCCTGTGTATACAAGTTAGTTCAAGTCAGTGTGTGATGCATACTCCGTGTGTTCTTATACCTTGTATACAAGTCAGTACATGTCAGTGTGTGGAGTATACTCCGTGTGTTCTTATACCTTGTATACAAGTCAGTACATGTCAGTGTGTGAAGTATACTCCGTGTGTTCTTACACCTTGTATACAAGTCAGTACATGTCAGTGTGTGGAGTATACTCCGTGTGTTCTTACACCTTGTATACAAGTCAGTACATGTCAGTGTGTGGAGTATACTCCGTGTGTTCTTACACCTTGTATACAAGTCAGTACATGTCAGTGTGTGGAGTATACTCCGTGTGTTCTTACACCTTGTATACAAGTCAGTACAAGTCAGTGTGTGGAGTATACTCCGTGTGTTCTTACACCTTGTATACAAGTCAGTACAAGTCAGTACATGTTAGTGTGTGGAGTATACTCCGTGTGTTCTTACACCTTGTATACAAGTCAGTACATGTCAGTGTGTGGAGTATACTCCGTGTGTTCTTACACCTTGTATACAAGTCAGTACAAGTCAGTGTGTGAAGTATACTCCGTGTGTTCTTACACCTTGTATACAAGTCAGTACATGTCAGTGTGTGGAGTATACTCCGTGTGTTCTTACACCTTGTATACAAGTCAGTACATGTCAGTGTGTGGAGTATACTCCGTGTGTTCTTACACCTTGTATACAAGTCAGTACATGTCAGTGTGTGAAGTATACTCCGTGTGTTCTTACACCTTGTATACAAGTCAGTAAATGTCAGTGTGTGGAGTATACTCCGTGTGTTCTTACACCTTGTATACAAGTCAGTACATGTCAGTGTGTGGAGTATACTCCGTGTGTTCTTACACCTTGTATACAAGTCAGTACATGTCAGTGTGTGGAGTATACTCCGATTGTTCTTAGACCTTGTATACAAGTCAGTACATGTCAGTGTGTGGAGTATACTCCGTGTGTTCTTACACCTTGTATACAAGTCAGTACATGTCAGTGTGTGAAGTATAATCCGTGTGTTCTTACACCTTGTATACAAGTCAGTACATGTCAGTGTGTGGAGTATACTCCGTGTGTTCTTACACCTTGTATACAAGTCAGTACATGTCAGTGTGTGTAGTATACTCCGTGTGTTCTTACACCTTGTATACAAGTCAGTACATGTCAGTGTGTGGAGTATACTCCGTGTGTTCTTACACCTTGTATACAAGTCAGTACAAGTCAGTGTGTGAAGTATACTCCGTGTGTTCTTACACCTTGTATACAAGTCAGTACATGTCAGTGTGTGAGGTATACTCCGTGTGTTCTTACACCTTGTATACAAGTCAGTACAAGTCAGTACATGTCAGTGTGTGGAGTATACTCCGTGTGTTCTTACACCTTGTATACAAGTCAGTACAAGTCAGTGTGTGAAGTATACTCCGTGTGTTCTTACACCTTGTATACAAGTCAGTACATGTCAGTGTGTGGAGTATACTCCGTGTGTTCTTACACCTTGTATACAAGTCAGTATATGTCAGTGTGTGGAGTATACTCCGATTGTTCTTAGACCTTGTATACAAGTCAGTACATGTCAGTGTGTGAAGTATACTCCGTGTGTTCTTACACCTTGTATACAAGTCAGTACATGTCAGTGTGTGGAGTATACTCCGTGTGTTCTTACACCTTGTATACAAGTCAGTACATGTCAGTGTGTGGAGTATACTCCGTGTGTTCTTACACCTTGTATACAAGTCAGTACATGTCAGTGTGTGGAGTATACTCCGTGTGTTCTTACACCTTGTATACAAGTCAGTACATGTCAGTGTGTGAAGTATACTCCGTGTGTTCTTACACCTTGTATACAAGTCAGTACATGTCAGTGTGTGGAGTATACTCCGTGTGTTCTTACACCTTGTATACAAGTCAGTACATGTCAGTGTGTGGAGTATACTCCGTGTGTTCTTACACCTTGTATACAAGTCAGTACATGTCAGTGTGTGGAGTATACTCCGTGTGTTCTTACACCTTGTATACAAGTCAGTACAAGTCAGTACATGAGGAAAACTGACAGAAAATGTAGTTTATAAGATTCAAAGCCATTCAGACATAGCATGGGCATGGACGAGTAATTACAAGTATCCATTATTTGTTATATAACTCTTTACATGCATTTAAAGTCCATTTAAAAAGCTCACATCAAAGGTTGGTTCATTTTTGAGTATATTGAAGTATATACTTGTCTAATGTAAGTAAAATCAGATTTAGTAAAATAAGATTCATCATTTCAGAAGTTACCTGTAGGTCTCCTCCCGTCATACCGAACGCTCAAGGTCCCCCTCCCACGGGTCCTTTCCCCGTGGGTTCTTCATACCGGTATACATCTTATGTCGCGGGTTACAGCTCGTCCGGTGATCCCTCCACAACTTGTCAAGCTGACGGACAATGGTCACCTGTAGTCTTCCAATGTAGAGGTATCTCTCTCTTTCTCTCTCTCTCTCTTAACATAAAGCTAGTTCACTCGACCAGCACTTATAGATTTTATAATTTTGTGTGATCATTCATTTAAAGCTGAAAAACCCTGATGATCAACATAAACAGAAATCAGAGATTTTTTTATCATAAAGGATACACAAAATGCTTTTTTCCAAATATTTAACAGTTATGAGATTTTTCTTTCACCAGATGAAGAGTTTATCAGTGCTTCATATGGAATATCATATTCTTTCCTTTTTTGAACTAATTTCACTAATCAACAAGAAAGAAAAGGAAAATAAACACCCAAAATGGGACTTTTTAGTTTTTGAAGGTTCTAGTATGCACATTACAGGGACCCTACTAATAGACTTCTGAGCTTGAAAATATGTTCTCTATCTCCATACATCTCACACAGCAATCCTTTTTTGGACTAAATTCTCTTAGAAATAATAACCCAGCTTTATTTAAGTATATATAAGATTTTTTAAAAATATTTTGTTGATTTAAGAAGTTATAAATTGTAATATCAGATTATGCTAATAAATTTGTTACTTTTGAGTACAAATAAATGTAAACGATAAATAAGACAATTTATCAAAAATTTGAGATACCGCTTTACATTCAATTCTTGATAAACACTGGGGCAAAATGACAATTTTGAGAAATTAATGAAATGTAAAATGTTTCAAATGATGCACTGCTTATTGATATACTTATTACTAGTATAATATTATTATTACATATTATTATGTTAATGATCACACAAAATCTTTGAAACATTTTACCACTGCTTGCCAGCATGTCATAACTTTATATAGATCAGTCTGCCAGTGCTACTTAGGATGAACGTTACAAGCTTTATGTTAAGGATACACGAAAGGTTTCCTAAGGTTAAACTTTATACTAGCACTGGCACGCTGTTTAAAAAATGTGTGTGATCATTGATATAAAACCATGACACGTTGATTAACACGTAAAGATTTATCATTAACAGTACGCTATTGTTCGATGTTTAGCGCTGGCAGAATAATCAATAACATTATGCTATTACACGTTTTTCAACAGACTGATCAATAGCATAAAGTTATGACGTGTTGATTAGCACTGGTAAACTTGCTCGTTCATTAGCACTGACACACTAATCATTAACATAACTCTATCATTAGTTCACTAACACTGACACACTAATCATTAACATAATGCTATTACTCAATCATAAAAACTGACAGACTTATTATAAACATAACGCTATAACGCGTTGTTCAGCACTGACAGAATAATCATCATTACGCTATTACTTGTTCATAAACACTGGCACACTTATCATTAACATAACGCTATAACTCGTTCATATATAAGCACTGTCAGACTGATCATTTAAGTCATTAGTCGTTCATAAGCACATGCAGAATATTCATTAACATCACGCTATTACTTGTTCATTAGGACTGACAGACTAATCTTTAACATAATGCTATTACTCGTTCATTAACACTCACAGACTAACCATTAACACAACGCTATTTCTCATTCATTAACACTGACACACTAACCATTAACACAACGCTATTACTCGTTCATTTACACTGGCACACTTATCATTAACATTACGCTATTACTCGTTCATTAGCACTGTCAGACTGATCATTTAAGTTATTTGTCGTTCATAAGCACATGCAGAATATTCATTAACATTACGCTATTACTTGTTCATTAACATTGACAGACAAATCATTAACATTACGCTATTACTCGTTCATTAACACTGACACACTAACCATTGACACAACGCTATTACTGGTACTTTTGACTATTGACTAGCATTGGCAGATTGCTCTGCAGTTTTGAGGGCAGACTCCGGTGCCAGCGGAAATGACGGAGTGTATACAATTATCCCGGATGGTACGACCCAGAAACAAGTCTTCTGTGATATGACGACTAAGGGTGGCGGGTGGACGGTGAGTTCTTCTTAATCAATCTATAACTGTAAAGATATGAATAAATATTGCACAATCATTTTTGACATCCAAAAGCAGAAGAAAAATTCAAATTCTACAAGATGTTTATTCTGAAAAAAAAGTTTAAATATTAATGAATAGGATAAAACCTGAAGCCTGGAATAGGTATTTCCTTTCTTTTATTTATCTTGTAAAACACACCTAACAAAAAAACTTCTCAAATATTTTTCGATAACTAATGTTTTTGGTAGGTCATACAGCGGCGAGAGGATCAATCAACAGATTTTTACAGAACTTGGGAAGAGTACAAGGCGGGATGTGGAAATCCTGCACAGAATCATTGGATAGGTAAAGATAACTGGATCAGTAAACATCACTAGATAGGTAAAGATAACTGGATCTATAAACATCACTAGATAGGTAAAGATAACTGGATCTATAAACATCACTAGATAGGTAAAGATAACTGGATCGGTAAACATCAATAGATAGGTAAAGATAACTGGATCTATAAACATCAATAGACAGGTAAAGATAACTGCATCTATAAACATTAATAGATAGGTAACGATAACTGCATCTATAAACATCAATAGACAGGTAAATATAACTGGATCTATAAACATCAATAGACAGGTAAAGATAACTGGATCGGTAAACATCACTGGATAGGTAAAGATAACTGGATCTATAAACATCAATAGATAGGTAAAGATAACTGGATCTATAAACATCAATAGACAGGTAAAGATAACTGGATCTATAAACATCAATAGACAGGTAAAGATAACTGGATCTATAAACATCAATAGACAGGTAAAGATAACTGGATCGGTAAACATCAATAGACAGGTAAAGATAACTGGATCTATAAACATCAATAGACAGGTAAAGATAACTGGATCTATAAACATTAATAGATAGGTAAAGATAACTGGATCTATAAACATCAATAGACAGGTAAAGATAACTGGATCTATAAACATCAGTAGACAGGTAAAGATAACTGGATCTATAAACATCAATAGATAGGTAAAGATAACTGGATCTATAAACATCACTGGATAGGTAAAGATAACTGGATCTATAAACATCAATAGATAGGTAAAGATAACTGGATCTATAAACATCACTAGACAGGTAAAGATAACTGGATCTATAAACATCAATAGACAGGTAAAGATAACTGGATCTATAAACATCAATAGATAAGTAAAGATAACTGGATCTATAAACATCAATAGATAGGTAAAGATAACTGGATCTATAAACATCAATAGATACATGTAGGTAAAGATAACTGGATCTATAAACATCACTAGACAGGTAAAGATAACTGCATCTATAAACATCACTAGACAGGTAAAGATAACTGGATCGGTAAACATCACTGGACAGGTAAAGATAACTGGATCTATAAACATCAATAGACAGGTAAAGATAACTGGATCTATAAACATCAATAGACAGGTAAAGATAACTGGATCTATAAACATTAATAGATAGGTAACGATAACTGCATCTATAAACATCAATAGACAGGTAAAGATAACTGGATCTATAAACATCAATAGACAGGTAAAGATAACTGGATCTATAAACATCAATAGACAGGTAAAGATAACTGGATCGGTAAACATCACTGGATAGGTAAAGATAACTGGATCTATAAACATCAATAGACAGGTAAAGATAACTGGATCTATAAACATCAATAGACAGGTAAAGATAACTGGATCTATAAACTTAAAACATTGCTGTGACGTCAAGCCTTTGTTCTTGCAGTCTAAAAATTTACCTGTAGCCGTCCGATAATAATAATTACCAGTCTGATAATATATTATCGGACGGCAATGATAACAAAATCGGACGGTGTTTAAAAAACAAAAAGAAGAGTGAAATTAAGATTAAATATGTCCAGAAACCCCCAATAATTATGTGAGGAAAAAATTCAGGGAAACCAAACGCAAGGAAATTAAGTTGATCACAATACAAAATAGCAAATCCATGAAAAGAAATCCAAGTTTAAACCTTCCACAACATTAATTTTCACTCTTTAAAAGAGTTTTTGATTCAGCGCTTTGAATTAGCGAATTTAAATCCATTTCTGAAAAAGATTCTGCAATCACTTTTTATGTTTTTTCCCCGATGGCCACACTTTCAAAACCTGAGAATTTCCATTATCTAAGCTAAAAATTCAGCTAGGGTAAAAATCCGCATTTTACTTGCCATGGTGATGGTTAAAATATCACCCAAAATTATGTCAGCATCAATGTCAATTTATGCACATCATAAATAAAAATGCCCCCCCCCATAAAATCTTTCACCACCGTACCCATGTCCTGCTTAACGAAACGACTGCCATTGAATGAATGAAATTAATGAAACAAGAGTTCACTCACTTTTTTACTGTTCACTCATTTCTTTTATCTACTTATCAGACGGGTAGAAAACAATTGATGCTTGAACTCCCATTGTGTTATTATCGGACTCCTCCAGGTAACTTTTGGACATTTAAATGGCAATGTTTTAAGTAAGATATATGCCTCATGCTATTCTATATGTAAAATTATCAGACAGTTTTCGGCCCTAACGGGCCTCAAACAGTCTGATAATTTTACATATAGAACAGTATTCGGCATATATCCATTACATAAATAGACAGGTAAAGATAATTGGATCTATAACCATCAATAGACAGGTAAAGATCACTGGAGAGGTAAAAATAACTGTAGAGATAAAATCACTTGATAGGCAAAAGGAAACAAATAGGAAAATGAGCATTCTTCATGATCAAAAATCTATAAAAACAATTTAACAATGCATATTGCTCGTAATGTTTGTATATACCAAAATAATTATATATTTTCAGAAAGTAGGTATTGTGTAGTTTCTGAAAATGATTAAAAAATATTTCAGTTGCACATGGCATCGAAATTCATCATAAATTCATTTGGAAATTCAATTTATTAAAGAATGAGTATTATTCTAGTTTTTTTTTCTTGGTCTTGGTTAAATATATAAAGAGATATTTTTATTGTTGTGTTGAGAATTATGAGAATGTTGAACATTTTTTAACATACAGTTTTAATTTTGGGGGGTATGGGGTGAAGTTGGGGGAGATTATCGCAAGAATTTTAGCATTTTTACATATAAATATTACCCCTGCATTGATTTGGATAATGGCAAAATTGCTCAAATAGTGCGCAACTTTTAATCAAGTTAACGAAAAATTGGAACAACCAATAAAACATATTCCTGTATAATATTATTTCATCGTAATTTTTGGGAGTTGAACTTTGTTCAATCTCCCATGGTCATCACTCATTTAACATGCGCAGTAATTTGTGTTGATTATATAGAGCCGAAAGCGAGGCTACTGTGTCACCCGATTTACCCTGATGATATTCAACAGAAAACATACATAAACATCCGCAACAAATAGTTCATGTCATTTTCTCCTGAATTGATCTAATTTTCATAATTTGAAATGTAAGTAAATGTATTGATAAAGTAATCTTATTTTGAATTTTAGATTTCATAAAAAGTAAAACTAAATTAAAAAAAACCTCAAAGTTTTTCGTAGCGTCATATACTCAAAGAGATACAAACGACAACTCTACATATACTGACTGCAAGCGGTGAATCTAGTCTTCTCGACGCCCGGTGGTCCCGTATTTTTAGCAATATCTTTTTTACCGGTGCAGAGAATTTATTCAAACTTTTCATGAATATTTCCTTGGTTTAAATTAATTCATTAATGCATTAAAACTTCAGGAAATATGCGTTTTTTAGTAAATCAGCAGTATCACCTTCCATCTAGTACACTGTTATAAATGTTACTAGTGTATTAAAACCAAAAACAGACACCCATGTTTTCGTAAAATCGCGATTCAAAGCAACAAAATGAAGTATACTTTTTTAATAAAAGGAAAAGCTCATTCACATACCACATAATTTGTACGCACACAAACTCTCACATATACCCCATAATAGAAGGTGCACAACGGCAATATGTAACTAGTGCTAATTGTAACGGGGACCGTTACAGATGTTCCCCAAATGCTCCCCAACTCCCTTTTGGTGCCATGTTCCCTGTAAGCTTCATTAAATAAGACAAACTCTATGCATTTGAGACTTTAACAATTTACCCAGAAGTGTACCAAATTCATTCAAATTTTAGCATTGCACGCATGCGCATGTGAATGCATGTGCCTATTGACCATATCATCTTGTCTACACATCTATGTATTTTGATATACTAAATGTTAAAGTATTTAATCCAAAATTATTAAAAAATACGCTCATTCAGGTGTATTTTTGATATTACTAATTTCACGTGCACGCACGTGCATACATGAGCATGGTGACCATACTTTCTTCTAGAAGTCCAATACATCTATGTTCTAAATCCCACCCCGTTTGGTTGAAAGTCAAAGGAGTTATAGCTGTTTAAACTTTCAGCCAATCAGATTGCAGCGCACGTACACGCACGTGTATGCATGTGATTAGTGACCATACCTTCTTGTAGAAATCCATTATATCTATCTATGTTCCAAATCCCATCCTGTTTGGTTGAAAACCAAGGGAGTTATAACTGTTTAAACTTTCAGCCAATCAGATTGCAGCGCACGTACACGCACGTGTATGCATGTGATTAGTGACCATACCTTCTTGTAGAAATCCATTATATCTATCTATGTTCCAAATCCCATCCTGTTTGGTTGAAAACCAAGGGAGTTATAGCTATTTAAAGTTTAAGCCAATCAGATTGCAGCGCACGTGCATGCACGTGCTTTCATGATAATTGCTATATATCATGTTGTAGGATATCCTAATGCATGGCTATGTTCAAAATTTCAAAGGATTTCATCAAAAAACAAGAAAGATATTGAGACTTTAGTTTCAGCCAATCAGAGCGAAGCGCACGTGCATGCGCGTTAGATCTTGCTATTTTGACCATGTCATGTTGTCTATGCCACTAATATATCCTTCTATTATGAGTTTCAAAGCATTTCATCAAAAATGTAAAAAGTTACGCTTATATCAATTAAATCGGTCATTTCACGTGTTGCACGTGCACGCTCTTGCAAGCACGTGCGCGCAAAATGACCTTCGTTCCGCAAATCTACATAACATGCCTACTGACCCTAAAAAGGTTTTACCTAAGTTGGATGTGTAGTTTACAAGATCACTCCCGGACAAAAAAGTACCCAGGAAGAAGAAGAAAAATAATAATAATAATAAGAAACAGAGTAAAAACAATATGTTCCCCAACTTCGTTTGGGGAACATAATAATAACTAGTGCTAATTGTAACGGGCACCGTTACAGATGTTCCCCAAACGA